TGCCACCAACACTTTATATGTTGAAGGACTTCCTTCAGATAGTTCCAGGAGGGAAGTAGCTCGTATCCTTTTTCTAGGTGGCGATGCCACTGCAAAATTATATTGATTTTTTCTCTCTTTCATTTCAATTACTTAAGAACCACATTCCTTTACTCCAATGTAGATATTTTCCGCCCCTTTGTGGGATATAAAGAACTGAGACTTGTGACCAAAGAATCTAAACATGTAATAGTCCATTACTAGTAACTGTTTTGTTGTTTTTTATTTTTATTTTTACTTTTACTTTTTAACTTTTGAACATCGCTAATCTTTACTACGTTTTTCATGTCACATTTGTTTCTAAATATAGCGTGGCGGGGACCCCCTAATATTATGTTTTGTGGATTTTGCAAACCCAGCCTGTGCAGCAACTGCCATGAGTGCGTTGCAAGGTGAATTATATTCATATTTCTTCCATATTGGCTCTTGCAGTTCTTAAAGCAGCAATATTCTTTTTCCCTTGTAGCTTCTTTCTTACTTGGGATAGATAATGTTTTAATTGAATTAATTGTAGAATATCATCGTTGACAGTTCGATTTGCTAAAAGATTATCTGATTTGCACAGGTTATAAGATGGACGAACAAGATCCCGAGTCTAATTACTTGCGACTACAGTTCTCAAGACATCCAGGTCCGAGGTCTGGCTCTGGATCTGGCGGCAAAAGGTGAATAAGCTTTAGAGACAGGATGAACAATTTAAATGAGAGACGTATGTTCTTGTAGTGCACATTTTACTAGCTGCATATGCATCCCATTATATGTTAGACATGCTGTTGTTAAGATAGGCAAATTGTAGCCGACTCCACTGAATATGAAAGTTGCATGTAAATTTAAGGGAATTAGGTTCAGAGAGTTTCAATAGTCACTGTGTTCTTGAATATTGATGTACAATCATGTCAATGCTTCAAAATTCAAAAGATATATCTGGTACGTTCTTTATGAACTGTTGTTTTTACCCCCACAAACATTCTGGCCTGGTGGATCAATCTTAGGTTCTCATTTAAATTGTTTGTAAATTTAGTGTATTTATGCTCGTCGCTGAATCCCAATTGTTAGAAGTATTGTTTAGATATATAGGATATTTGTGAGATTCCACATCGGTTGGAGAGGAGAACGAAACATTCTTTATAAGGGCGTAGAAATTTCTTTCTATTATATGCGTTTTAAAATCTCCCTATTATACGCGTTTTAAAATTGTGAGACTGACGGTAATACGTAACGGGTCAAAGCAGACAATATCTATTAATGGTAGGCTTGAAATGTTACTAATAGTACTAGAGAGGACACTGACTTTGGAGGGATAATGTTGAATACCCCACCTAAATAACTTTTGAAAATTATGCTCATTGACCATTGCAATAAAGCTCACATGGGTATGAGTATTAGAGATTGAGGAAGGACAACAAGAACTCTGGTTAAAGACTCGAATATTTTTACAAATGCTTTTTTTACTACATTTCTAAGTCTATTTATAAAGATAACATACATGACTTTATATAACCTTAAAATGATACTTTTTACCTTTTACGGGCATGTAAATGTAACCTAGAAACTTAAAATACATTAATGAAATAAATTTGTAACCATCTAAGAATGAATGAAACCACTTGAAGTATGTTGAAGCCTTTGTTACATAAATGAAGCTTGATTCTTCTTAATGTTGTATGAATATTGTATGATTAGATGTTATGATTCATATCGTCATTTTTCTAGTTAAAACGTTAAATATCTCTCTCCAAGCATGGGTTTTATAAGGCCATGTCAATTCCGTTCGCAAAACCCTCCACGAAACTCATGAACCAAACGTTCTTTAGAGGACATAATTCAAAGAAAATAGTAATGGAATCGATTTTGTTGACTTGTTTGGTTAACTGTAGGAGCTTTCTTTATTAGAGTGATATCAATAATTTTGATAGTGAAATTTCCAACCATTCTTGGACCTACCTATTTAATATGACTTATAAATTTGAAGACTCAATATTTATGTGCAATATTTTCCATCTCCTCTCTCCACAACCATTTACTTTGACCTACTCAAACAATTCCAACCTCAATTGTCGGAAAGTTATTGTCGTTAATCTCAGGCGTCTACTAGAGAGGTTTCCACACTCCTATAAGCATACAAGGAATGATTCGTCTCCTTTGAACTGATGTGCGGTAACTTGTATTGATTTGTGAGGAGACTTTTCACGGAATTTAAGTTTGAAACTAAATTAAAAATTTTATCGAATTTATGAAATAAGTTTCCTATAAATCTAAAAAATTCATACTATAATAACAAGTTTACAAAACTAAGAATGAGGTCTCTACAATTGCTTCCCTTCATTTTGTCCCTTCTCTTTGTATGGTTCTTATTCATCCATCAAAATTTACAAGTTCATCGTCCCTTTAGCCCCATTGCTACTCCACATCTCTTTATATTGACGCCGCCAGCTCCGATGGCCGAGCCCATTCTTCCTTATTTACATTTAAAATTTGCATCATCATCCCTAAATCATAAGCCATACACGGTCAAGTCACGGCGGAGTCTGTTGGTATCGCGACCACGTCCAGGATCCGATCACCAAGGGCCAAGTCTACTCATTCGCAAACAGTCTCCACCTCCACCACCACCACGTGTACACTCCGATCACAATTGGCCAAATCCAACCTTCCTCAAATCTCCTCCACCTCCTTTCTGAAACAACTTTTTGTATGTACCACTGTGGTATAATACAAAAGCGTTTGTGGAATTGTGTTTATGTTCAAAGTAGACAATAAAATATATTCTATGTACGAAAGAAAATAAAAAGGTAATTGATAGAATATAAAAATGTTTGAATTTATTATTAATTGTATTGGTCATAAAGAGGGTGGGTGTGGGAGTTCAGGCCAGGCCAAGTTTAAAAGCCACATCTAAAACCAATCTTGTAATTGGAAGGCCAACAAGATGAGATCTCTGACGTTCTTCTATTTCTTCTTCCTTCTCATTGTATTTGTCTCCTTAGATCTCCCCTCAAAGTTGACTGCATATTACATTCACCCTCCTCTCCGGCCGCCGCAGCCACCTCCGCCTAGAAAACTCTCATATCCTCCTCCTCCTCCCGCCTGCACACACGGTGCACCACCGCCAGCCAAGAAGAAATACAAGACCCCGCCGCCACCGGCTCCTGCTAAGCCATGGCCAATAAGGTTCCACCATAAATCACCTCCACCACCTTACTAACACAGTTTTTGTTTACAAATATGATAGTCTATTTTAATCATAAGTTTATACATTTATTATTCATTTACAAGATTAGGAGGATTAGAGCAACAAAATAATATCTTATAATATCTTTAAATTATATATGGATATATATATATATATATATATTTTCATTTTGGGGAGAATCTTTTGTTGGTGTTGTGCAAATCAAACGCGGTAGAGATCTTATTAACATTTTTAGCTGGTTGAGTTCTTATTAACCTATGTAGTTGGTTTGGTAGTCACACAAAAATAAAGGTAACGTGGGTGAGAAACTGTGTGAGAGTTACTAAACTAGCTATGGTCCAAACTTCATAAATTTTATCGACGGGTTGGTGTGAGGCATTATAATGCAATAACACCTAATCATGGACGGATAGGATCCAATGTGTAACACTTATTTACACATGACTCGCGTACGCGCACATAGACCTACTAGATGTGCTCGTATGCATGTCCCCTAGGTTTGACTACGGACTAACGCACGTTCACGTTGCTAGAAGCCCTGAAGGAAAAGGAGCACGTATAATATCATGATGCACATGTTCATACTAATCATTTTAGTTATTGATATTTTACAACAAAACTTAATTTGTGGTGTCCCACATTAGTTGAGGAGGAGAACAAACAAATAAGGGTGTGGAAACCTTCCCGGCGTTTTAAAGCCTTGAGGGCAAACCCGAAAGGAAAAGTTCAAAGAGGACAATATCTGCTGGCGGTGGAATCGGGACGTTACATAATTTTAATACCTTTATGAATCCTTTACAAGCATCTTCTCCACCACGCAAAGTTATGTACATAGTCTTTTATCTTGTCAATCTCGAATTTCAATCGCATTCGCAACAAGTCGTTTTATTGGAATAATTGTCACTCTTGTGGGGTGATATTGAAATTTCTATATTCTTGCGCCCAACTATTATAACCTTGAATTTTATGTCCTAAAGTCCACATCTTTGGACATTCAAATGTGAACGAACAGTGTTGAATTTTGATTTTATTTTTTATTTGTCGGGATCTAACCTAAGGGTTAAGAAGAAAAAATGACATGAATGCATCTACCCTAGGTTTGGTCCCATAGTCATCCGCACATGAGTGTCTTACCTTTACTTGAAAAAAATTAGAGTAACACGTGACTTTAGTATTTTAATAAATACACTCCAAGTAACTGTATTATTGGGATTGAGAAATGTATGCACAAACAATCGTGAAAAGACCCTATTCTTTTATAAAAATATTTCATAGTCTTGAACTCTTATTTGTAGTCCATGTTAAAATTGGACGTATAGTACTTCTCTACATATGACTAACGTACGCGCATATGGACCCACAAGCAGACATAGACGTACCTCCTAAGGTTTGCCCTTCAACGAAGCACGCTCACCCGGTCGAATATATCATAATATCGTAATGTACGCGTTCGTACTCATCATAAAAGAGAAATATCTAGATGTACACGAGGTTTGTAACTCCACCAAATTAGAAAGATTTCTTCAAACTCAACCCAATCCAACTAGTGGCATCCTAATTCAAAATCTTAAAAATCCTAACTTTTTTCATACTCGTGAAATTGAATTTAATCATTACCAAAAACAAAATAGTATTCTAAGTCTTCTCAAAAAGTTGAAAATTTTGCACCAAAAATATAGACATCTCAAAACTATACATCAATGTATTTTAAAACCATAATTTTGTTATAAAAAACATAGAACGTTAATTGAATTGGAAAGGGAGCAAGATGGGGTCTCTAATATTGGCCTCCTTCTATCTCTTCTCCCTTCTCATTGCATTACTCTCTTTAGATCTCCCCTCAAAATTGGCTGCACGTTCCCTTCACCCATCTCCATGCACCAACCCTCATGAATACCAGCCTCCGCCGCCGTTTCCGTCTGAAAAACTCCCATATCCTCCTCCTTCAGTCTGCACGCAGCTCGCACCACCACCACCCAAGAACAGGCACAAATTCAAGACTTCGCCGCCGCATCGTATGCCACCATGGCAAAGAAAGTTCACCCATACATCACCTCCACCTCCTTTCTAACACACCTCGTGTGTTGCATCATACATTAATTAGCTTCATATGAACCATCGAGCGATGTTATTTAAAGAAAATAAAGTTTTATTTATAGTTGGATTGTTACAAGAATACATACTTGCTAATTATGGTGAAGTATGAAGTTACAACTATTGGAATGACTCACCCTTACAAGGGAACGCCTCTCTAACCGATGTAAGATCTCATAATCCACCTCCGCTAGCAGATTTTGTCCGTTTTGATCTGTTACATATTGTCATGAGTCTCACAATTTTAAAACGTGTCTAGTGGGGAGAGGTTTCCATAGACTTATAAAAAATGTTTCGTTCATATCTCCAACCAATGTGGGATGTGGGATGTGGGATCTCACAATTCACTTTCTTGAAAACCCACTTCGAGATCTGAATCTTCTTTTATGATTTGGCATCGAGTTTTTATTTAAAATACAAAATAAGAGTTAAAAGAAAGCATGAGATAGTAGCATCAAAATGGGGCCGCTCTTTAAAGCTTTTGTTTGAATATGAACCAAGTGGTAACTAAAGAACACACAACAACCTTATTCCTAATCTCCGCCGACAAACCAAAAAAAAAACAAGAAAACGCGTGAAAAGCTCAAACCTCCTTTATTGGCTACATTCCATGCCGTCTAGTTTGAATATCTATTTTTTAGTGGAAGCAGACAAGTGGGTTCTGAAAACAGCAAGGAAGCATCATATTTTGGCCACCCGTGAGTATTACACCAAGTGGACAATATAATTAAACATACTACAAAATATATTATAAAAAACCAACAAAATTTTGAATGCCATTATAAACCAAAACCCATTGGTGAATTAAATCCAAACAAACAAAAAAGGGAAAGAATGGAGTGTCGAATGGCCATTGTTTTAGTTGCATTAATTCTCTTTTTCAGCTTCCCAATCCCTTCCACATCCGCCGCCCGCCCTCACCCACTTCCGCCACCGCCACCGCCACTTCTGCCGCATCAATATGAGCTGCTAGCGAGGAGAAGGCGCTTCCGTTCGCCGCCACCACCGCCGCCGCCCAGGTTCCAATGGCCAAAAAGACACACCCGTAAATCGCCGCCACCTCCTTTCTAACAAACCGCTGTCCTAAAACCACCTCTTATGGCTGTCAGAGGAGAGGGCTTTTTAGGGTTTCTTTCCTTTTATTTTTCTATTTTTTAATCATATTTTCTAATTTTTTTTGTGTGTTTATTACTGGAGAAGATGATATAAATAATAAATATTTTTGTTGTTTGACTTTCCCTTTTTGACTTCGTTCAACCCATTAAAACGCGTGTACTAGTAAAAAGGTTTTGAGTGTAATGAAAGTTTTTTCTCCTCTCGTTTATCTAAATTGTCATAAGTTTTTTTTTATTTAATTTAGTTATTAACTCTCATCCATTTATAATGGTTGATTTATTAAAATTTTGTTATCATTTTAATATTAATCTTATTTAATTCCATAAAGTTTGATGATTCAAACAATTGTCCCTATATAATGGGCTTGTCTAGGAGGTTGTTGATATCGGAATTTGATATCCAAGTTTGATTGAGTTTTGTGTGTCACATTGTATTCTTGAGAGACTTTGTAGTATGAGAGTGAGGTATTCACTTGTAATACTTTGATTATTAGTGATTGGTTGCTACCTGTGGATGTAGAGGAACTTCTTCTCTCCGAACCACATAAATATCTTGGTGTCTCTTTGTGTAATTTCGTTCATTGTGGTTGTGAGTACATTCGTTCCACTTTCGCTACAACAATCGGTATCATATTTTTGTGGTTGTAGCATTTGACGCACAACAGTTGGCTCACATCCGAATGTCTTATATGATTCCATTTGTAACAACTTAAGTTCATAGTAAATATAATGGATTTTTACTTTTCATTTTAAATTGTGCATCAAATAAAATATCCAACTTGATCGTTACTTAACTTGGTTGGTGTTCGAGTTGATTAATAAAATATTTAGTGTAACATAATTAAGGTAACAACACGATTTTTTATGAAGAAATAAAATACAATGGATTGTTTTGACCAGGTTTAAATTGGGTATCTGTTTGGAAGTTGATATATATATTTTTTTTAAAGAAAAAAACAAAAATTTTCAAATGAATACTGTTTTAGTTAATTAAATACCATAATTGTGTAATATAAATTGAGAAATGAAGTGTTGTTGTTCATTATCTAAAGCCTCTCTACCAAATTGGTATTGAGAAATGAAGTTTAATTGTGTTCTTCTTGCTTCATTATTGCTGTTCTTGCTTCTCTCGCCATGTCTGGCATTGAAAGAAGCCAATTCCATTTACCATCGGGCTTCTTCGCCGCCCACGAACAAACCACAGCCTGCATGGCGTTGGAAGAGAGGATATCAATGGCCACCTCACGTCCAGCCAAGGGTGCCACCACCTCCTTACTTGGGGCATTATAGTATGGAGGAGGAACTGTTTTGATATCAACATTCATGCATGGCCACCCAACATGCATGCACTATTTTAGACGTTCTTCCTCACTTTCATTTATAGTTTTGTTCTTCTATTGCATGGTTGTGGATTTTCATTTTTGTTCGTAAACGCTTTGTGTTGTGTTATGTTATGTTTTTCAATGCTTCTGCTGGTCATGTTGGTTGGTGTTTTGAGTAATTTAGTTGTTATCTCAATTCTCTTTTGCGCGTAAATGCTCGTAACTACATACATCAGTAATTGTGACATCTTATTAAAGGAATCGGGTACATGAATAAACTGAGACCACATATGAATGATAGCGATTCTGAAGATAAGATGACTAAGAACGACTTAATACAAATGACAAGATGCTTACTTTATTTGTAGCATTTCTATGTCCGGTGATTTCGTATAATTTTTTTTCTAATATACATGTGAGTGAGGACAAAACATGCTATAACAACTTGTGTTGGTCTATGGAAATAGTCTTCACTATTAAAAAGCTAGGAACATAGGTAATATAATCATACGTTCATGTATAACTTCCATACCAAGATTAGCACAGTTAATAATTCTTGACTATGAACTACAAATTGATTGAAATTGAAACCATTTAAGTTGAAAGTCGTAGTGCTAGTACCTAAAGCGGTGAACCAGATACCAGGCCAAGTAGCTAGAAAGAAGTGTAAAAAACGAGAGTTGTTGAAACTAGCATATTGGATAATCATAACTACGAGTAGCTACAATATTATAAGCTTCATCATCTTGACTGAATCTGTAACCTTCCTTAGCAGATTCATTTTCTATAGTATCCTGAACGTAGGCAACATGATCATATCGTAGGAGAATACTAAGACTATCAGATGTTGAATTCAAATTTCGAATCCTAATCCAATATCACTTTAACTTGGGAGGTAACGTCCATGTAATTTAATAAAATCTTGCCTTTTATATACCAAATGAGCCGGGTCAAAGTATATTTAATGTGTTCCCTTGGGTAATCCATATATACAAACAATATAAATAAAATAATTATATAATTTTAGCTAACCTATGTTGAATAATATGGTAATCCCCTCATACAATAATATTAAGATTATAATTTACAACTTATTAAACATATTATATATATATATATATATGTATGTATGTATGTATATATATTTTAATAATTGGTCTCACCAACTTGGAGAGAAATATGAAGCAGCCGCCGGGAGTGGTTGGCGTGGTGCGACATTATATGAACCCTAAACCAAACCCCATTTTCGCATTCAACACATAAAACACTAAAAATGAGGTCTTCAATGGCTCCTCTCGTTGTCGCCGTGTTAGCCGTATTAATCCTTTCTTTGGGATTCCCCTCCGCCGTCGATGCCCGCTCTTCTCGTCACCACAGAAAAACTCTTCCTCCACCACCACCACCGCCGCCACCGCCACCGCCGCCTCCGCCTCCGCCATGTGGAAAGGCCACTAATCCGTCACCACCGCCGCCCAAATTTCAATGGCCTCCTGATTTTGTCAGAAAGTCGCCGCCGCCCCCGTTCTAGATATGTTGCATGCATGTAATATTTATATATACTGAATAATTATTGGATTTAAATCTGCCATATTCTAGCTTATGTTGATAAAGATCTTCTCTAAGTATATAATATATAGTTTGTTTCTTAATATAAACTTAATATTAAAGTCTTAAATTCGTTATTTTTTGTTAAAGGTCAATCTATCAACTTAAGTAAATCCTATTTAGTCGGGTTAAATTGTAACATCCTATGTCTACAGCTACCCGATATTGTTATGCTTAGCTTTTCGTTTCAGACTCCCAATTTTTAAAACACTTTTGCTATGGATAATTTTTCATATCCTTATAAAAAATGTTTCGTTTTCTCTCACCAATCGATGTGGGATCTCACAATCTATCCTGCTTTGGGATTCAATGTCCTCGCTGACACTCGTTTCCTTCTCCAATCAACCGATGTGAGATCTCATCATCCATCTTGCTTCGGGGCTGACACTCATTCCCGGTCTCCAATTAAATTCAATGAAAATGGGAACTCCTTGTAATCAAAGTCTTGTCTATATTTGGTTGAGAATTGACCAAGTTTAACGTTGAGTTGGTCTTTATGTTTCAAAATCTCACTTTTATAACCCTAATTATATTATAAACTATTGAGTTTACACTAATTAATTTTACTTCCCATTACATATCAATCAACAACCATACCTTAAATGCCACATAAAACCTTATTATTTTAAAGAATATTATTAAAAGTGTAAGGATGTTAAAGGACCCTTGTAAAAAATAAGAATATCTCGCCATCCATCTCCATCTCCTTAGGGCCAGTGTAGAATACTTCGTTCCCCTCGTCAACTAATGTAGGATCTCACAATTCAATCCCTTTTGAGGTCCAACGTTTTCGCTAACACACCACCCAGTGCTTAGCTCTAATATCATTTGTAGTTACCCATGTCCATAGGTTTTCCCTGAGCTTCCCCTCAAAGTCGTAAAACGCGTCTATTAGACAGAGATTTCCACAATCTTATAAATAATATTTTGTTATC